GCAGACGTTTCGTTACCGTGCTTGGTAACATCCTCAGTGCAGCCTCTGATGAAGCATCGGTGTGTTTTCCCGCCTGGTTTTCTATGGCCTCCCTAAAGTGCACAAGCCAGAAGTCCCCCTCAGACCCATAGTCTCCCTACCAGGCACTCCATCGCAGAAATTAGCCAGAGAACCACAAAGAAGACTCAAGCACCTAGTCAACAAATCACCCCACTCCATCCACTCAGCCCAAAAATTCCTCAACTCCATCAAAGACATAAAGATAGAGGACGAAGAGACCATGATATCGTTTGATGTCACTGCCCTATTCACATCAATAGACATACCACTAGCAAGGGAAACAATGATAATCCTACTTGAACAAGAACATGACCCCAGTGAAACCATCTCCAAGGACAATATGCTTAAACTACTGGACCTGTGCCTGACCACCCACTTCACCTTCAACGGCCAAACATACGAGCAAATCAACAGGACACCCATGGGATCGCCCATCTCCGGACTCATAGCAGAAGCAGTGATGCAAAGACTGGAAAGGACTGCCCTTCCGCAAATCCAACCTAAACTATGGATACGCTACGTAGACGACACCTTTGTCATCATTAAATGGACCAAATTAGAAGAGACACACAAACTCATAAACAACACCCTCACCGGAATAAAATTCACCAGAGAGGAGGAGAAGAACAAACAACTCCCATTCCTGGATGTCATGGTAGAGCGCAAGACAAATGGGGAACTGCAAAAGAAAGTACACCGAAAAGCCACACACACAGACCAGGTATTGAACTTCAATAGTAACCATCCCAGCGCGCACAAACGAAGCTGCGTGCGAACACTATTTAAAAGGGCAACAACACACTGCAGCAACATGGAACTACACCAAGAGGAGGAGGAATACGTCTTCCAAGTGTTCAAGGATAATGGATATCCAAAGAACTGGGTCAGGAGATGCCTACAGGAACAGCATCAGAAAGATTCTACACGCCCCGACACACTCATCACACTACCCTACATCAGGAACACGTCAGAACTCACCACAAGACTTCTACGACCGCTGGGCATCAGAGTGGCACACAAGCCCACATCAACCCTACGACAAGTGCTCACTCGAACTAAAGACCCTCTCCCCACCATGGACAGGACCAATGTCATCTACAAGATCCCCTGCAGAGACTGTGAGAAACACTACATCGGACAAACAGGAAGGAAACTAACAAGAAGAGTACATGAACACCAACTGGCTACAAAAAGACACGACCAATACTCACTCATCTCAATCCACATGGACAAGGAGAACTACGACTTCGATAGGGACAACACCAAGATCCTGGAACAGGCTAGGCAGAAACAAGCACGAGAATTCCTGGAAGCATGGCATTCCACGAGGCATGCTATTAATAAACACATTGAACTCGACCCCATATACATTCCACTACGGAGGAAACCTGGAAGTGAGGCAATCCATCGCAACGGACCCCAGAATTTAAAAACCAGGCGGGAAAACACATTGACGCTTCATCAGAGGCTGCACTGAGGATGTTACCAAACACGGTAACGAAACGTCTGCAGAACAACAAACCAGCTCGGCGAGCCAACCAACCTCAACATTGTATGACCGTTTGATCTCTTACTAACAAATTCTGTGTGCTTCTTTCTCACTTCATCTGACGAATCAACTATAATCCGAAAGCTTGTGTTTTCGAATAAACCTGTCGGGCTATAACCTGGTGTCATGTGATTTCTGAACATTTCCAACAAGAGAACCTAACAATCTCCTTCTGACACTCAATAGAAGTACCATCACTATTTCGAACTGACATCCTGAGGGCTACCAGCGACTAGAAACTAAGCTGGACTAGCTAACTTAACATAAAAGCAGGTCAGGGGCAGAAAATTCCACAATGCATAATTCACCTCCAACAGAGTCTCTACTTTTTTTTTCCCCATACTGTGCAGGCCTTTGGAATCCGTGCATGCAGTGACCTCAGAACCGGAAGTTAACCCTGCAATCTGTGTGACAGCTCTACAACCATGCACAAAAGTGTGGAGCGGTCTCAGGCTAGAGAGAATATCGCTCCTGACTGCTTGAAAGCCTGTTCGTCATTCACAAAGCGCAAATCAGGCATGTGATGGAGTGCTCTTCACATGTCTAGATGAATGTACCTCCAATAACACTCAAGTTTGATACCAACTAGCCCACTCCATCCACCACTTTCAATAGTCACTATTTTCACAACAGATGTACAAGTGCAGCAAAAGATTTACTGCAGTAACTCACCGAGACATCGTCTTCCAAACCCATGATCTTTAACATCTAGAAGAATAATGGCAGCAGATGGTGGTGTTCCCATGCAGGTTTCCCTCCAAGCCACACATCATCCTGTTCCTGGGTGAAAATCTCACTATGCCCTCTTAACAGCATTATGCATGTACTTGTACCACATGGACTGCAGCAGTTCTAGACAGCAGCCCACCAACACCTCTCCAGGGCAATTAGGGATAGGCAATAAAAACCAGCCTAAACACTGGCTAGTGGATTAAAAACAAGTATTTTTCTAGAAAATACAGTACTGTAATGCCATACCAACTCTACAATGGAAGAACTCCATCAAGGAAGGGCTAGCTGTGTCCGAAGGGAAGTCTGGAATTAGGAACAAATTAAAATGAAAGTTTCACATTGGGCCGAGTCTTTATTTCGTTAGTAATTTTCCACTTCAGTTGCAGATTTACTAAGGCATTGCTTGTGGATCGAGCTTTAACTGTGGATCCTTTCTTTTATCCCACCTTCTTCACTTGAAAAAACATACCTAAGATTATAACAGATACTTGTTCTTAATCATGCTTCCCATAGTCAATTTGTCGTTCTTCCAGAACCTACTGTTGCTGTTACACTTCTCAAGAAAGTTCACGCCTGTACCACTGTCATGTCACCAATGAACACATGGTCATTTGATCTGAAGTGGATTTTTGCGCCCTTGCCAATGGTGAGTTTGGTGATAGGAGAGGCACTTTATCAGATGGGATGGGAACTCTGCCATTTTCCAACTGCATTGCTTAAGATGTAGAAGCAGGAGCAAACCATTCAGCCAATGGAGTCTGCTCCACCAGTCATGAGTGGTCTGATAAACCTCAACTGCACTTTAATGCTTTAACACTGATTCCCTTATTGATTAAAAATCTGTTTATTTCAGCCTTGAATATACAAATTGACTCAGACTCTAGTAAAGAATTCCATAGAATCACTACCCTCAGAAAAAATTTCTCTTTATCCGTCATAAACGGGTGACTCCTTACTCAGATTATGCCCTCTGGTCCTAGACACTCCTAGAAGGGGAAACAACTCTCCACATCTGTCATGCCAAGACCCCTAAGAATCACATATGTTTTGCTTCACCTCTCATTCTTCTGAACTGTAATGAGTACAAGCCCCAACAACTCAACATCTCCTAAGAAAATTCGTCCATACCTGGAATCAACCCTGTGAGCTTTCTCTGGACTGCATCCAATGCCAGTATATCTCTCCTTGGATAAGGGGACCATATTGTACACCTTACAAGATCATAGTTGATCTCATTATTCCCAACCATTCCCAATTATTCCTGGGAAGCTTTCACCCCCTTGCTTACAAAGAGATTACCCACCTGTACTTTACAAATATTCTAATACTTTATTTCCACTGCCAATTGAGAAAGAGCGTTCCAAAGACAGTCAGCCCTCTGAGGGGGATAAAAATGGGCAACAACCTATTTTACGCAATGCCTATTAGAATTCAACAGTAGGATCTCACAACGAATTTCTTCACAAAAGCTTGTACTCCACTGTCTTTTTCCATCACGTTATCACACATGCAGGAGCAGGCAAGAAATGACAACTTATACTGTGCATTTCTTCCACAATTTTCCAGTGCCGATGTTAAATCTCCAACACCAACCCAAATGAAATTCCCAAATTTGAAGGTTAATCCTATGGGACGAAATGTCTCCCAGGCATTTCGAACCTTAAGTATCCAATTTTGAATACATTTTGATAATTCTTCTGAGTTTTTCTAATTAGTCACGTTTTGAAGCTTTCTTTCTTGCTTACAAACTGAATTGTGCAAAGGAAAAGACAATATGACTTCTTGAGTTTCTGCTGACATATTACCAGTGATTCATTGAGATTTTATCAGTAATTGGGCATTTGTTCTGCATCCTAACAGCTGAGTGGTTACTTCAAATTATGACATTTTACAGTCTTGATAAGCATGCAATACTTTGGTGGTGTAATGCCTCTGAGGCCACACTTTCAGATATATCATTTTTGATTAGTCCAATGCTTCCAAGATGAGCCAAAATAAAATTACATTGATCCTACACATTTATTTTGGCCTAAGGAAAGGCAGTCTCACATGTGAACTATCCAGGCAGGTATCTACTTTGGTGAGCAGGTCAATAACCAGAGGTCACAAATTTCAAACCATTGAAAAGGATCTGGAGGGAAGATGATAATTCTTTTCATTCAAGGTTGTCAGATGTACAATGGCTGACCTGAAATGGTGGTGGTAGCCAACTGCATTAATGATTTTAAAAAGGGAGTTGGATAGGTACATGAGGATGAGAAACTTTCAGGGTTATTGGAAAAAAAATGAACTGTGTGACTAAGTACAACAGCTCGTTCAAAGACAACAATGGAGTTGGAGGAACACAGCAGGCCAGGCAGCAACAGAGAAGCAGGAACGTTGATGTTTCTGAAGAAGGATCCTGACCTGAAACATCAACTTTCCTGCTCCTCTGATGCTGCCTCGTCTGCTGTGTTCTTCTAGCTCCACACTGTTGTCTGACTCCAGCATCTGCAGTTCTTGCTATCTCCGAGCTCATTCAAAGAGCCAATGTTAGCATTCAGATCTAATGGCTCCTTCTGTGCCATAAGTTTGTGAATGTATGTCTGAAACACCTGACCAGCCATACATAGTTTTGCCCAGAGTTAAGTCACTGATAGATAAAACTGATCGTTCTCACCTCTGCATGCAAGTCCAGGCTGAGGTCAACCGCAGTTGCACCTAAAATCCTCCTGATTTCATTTCTCTCACATAGAGGGACACACTCCTCTATAAGGTTCCATAGCGATGAAGGTTTCTCATAGTTATCAGGAAATCTATTGTCTCCTTCGGTACAGTTCACATTCATAGCTGCAGGTCAAATCCAGATGCATTAGAAATCAGGGAATTTGTTCTTTTTGAAAATTCTGTAAAATTTTCTAATTATTTCCCAAATTGTGTTCTGTGATAGAGCTACCAGGACTCTTCAATCCAGCTAATGCACTGATGGATATTCTAGGAACATATGCACAAAAGGTTGTTTAAAAAAAAAGGAAGTAGCAGGATTAGAGTGGGACTCAAAGGGGGAAAGGAGGGTTAGGCGATTTACATAATAGGGCAATTGTAGGTCTACATGCGTTAACCCGAGACAGAAGGCTCATGAAGCTGGAAAATATTTTACTCATTGTAATCGAGGTCGTGTTGTTTCTAAAATTGAATTGTGAAGCAGCCTGCAATCATCTCAACTGATTAGCACTTGTTATGTTGACAGAAAACAGAAGCATTCCATTTACATTCTAACACTTGTCAGATCAGACAACTCAAACACTGTGCCAGGCTGCATATTCAAATGCCTGTTCTGCTAAAACACAAATGCAAGCTCATGATTCTGCCAAGTATCCAAATGAAATTCATTTAAAATTTTCATAGAATAATAGATGGCGTTGATCAATTAAATTCCCAAAGCACCAATAAAAAAAAGTCACAATATATTAGAAATGAAGTTCAACTTTTGTATTGTAAATGAAGCTCATTGGCTTCAGGATAAGCAAGTTGGAATGAAAGTTGAGAGTCGTGGTAAACAAAGGGTCAATGCTTTCCGAAGTTCAAATTATTCAAATTTTGGAAAACAGAAGAGAATTTCAAATTTGTTGATGTTACCAAACAAAGGAAGCGTAATAAACAATGACAATGAAAAGAATCACCTGCAACATCAAATGGATAAGCAAGTAGCAGACTGTATTTAATACAGACAAGACAAGCAGTTCCACAAACGGAACAGGAAAAGTAAATAAATACTGTGCAGGAACAGAGGGACCTAGGGGTTCATTTTCAAACCAGTCTTTGAAAATGGACTTCATATTAAGAGAATAGTTAGCAAAGCGTAAGGATTCTTGGGTTTCACACATAAAACTGTTGAGTACAAAATCAGAGTGGCTATGCTGAATCTTTATAAACGTGGAGGACCATAAAAGCACTAAATAATCAAGGAGCAAAAGATGGGAGGGAATAAATATAACCACCACTGGAGAAAAAGTGCTTGGGAAATTAAGGGGTTAATGGCCAGTATGTCAACTGGACATGACAGGTTGAACAGTAGGATTTTAAAGGAAGAAGCTAGAGATAGTAGATGCACCGTCAGTACTCTTCCAAGAATCCATAAATACTTGAAACATCCTAGAGAATTGGAAAACTGCAAATGTAAAATGCTTAAATCAAAATGGAAGGGAAACAAAAAACAGATATGTTACCACACAGAGACAGGCAGCCCAACCAAATCAGCCTTTCAACCTCTATACTCACAACGTTAAATGAAGACCCCAATAGTCACACTAATGCTTCCTGACCAGATATTTGAATAAACCAATCCCAGACTTTGTGACTAGTTAATTTCTAGGCCCTGATTTTGCATCTTAAGGAAAATACTTAGAGAAAATTAAATAACACAGTAATCTAATTAATGTCTATGCTTTAAACCCAAAACAGGTGTTTTCAGCCCCCATTTACATAAAAGATAGACAAACAAACATAGTTAAGGGATAAATAAAAAAAAGCAAAACTGGTCAGATTATTTAAATGGCTTTCATGGTGCGCTGTTTCATAGGCACAGATGTGGACTCCTTGGTTGCTTTTCTGGAACTGCTAATTAGGGGCATCTTCCGAGTTCACTCAGGTATAGATAACAATCCTTCTAACTCAGCTTTCTATTCTTTGGGCTTCTGGAAGCTGGTGTGGGAGAACAGGCAGACAGCTGTCAAATCTTCATGCTGTCAGCAGCTGAGTTCATCTCCCCAGAAAGCACAATTCAAAACAAAACTTCAATTCTGGTTCTGACCTGAGAGACTGAATGTCTTCGTTGCCCACACCACACACATCCTTCCCTCCCCAACCCCACACTGAGGCCTCAATTACCATCCAAAATCTGCCATCTCCTTGAACACAGGGTTTCTTCCAACCTGCCGGAACCAATTCCCAGGTACTGATCTCATTAATAGCCAAGACAACAAGGTGCAAGGCTGGATGAACACAGCAGGCCAAGCAGCATCATAGGAGCAGAGAGGCTGACGTTTCGGGCCTAGACCCTTCATCAGAAAAGGGGGAGGGGAAGGCCTCCACAGCCAGCAGCTCCAGAGGAGACAGCAGCACCCAGCCCTGCCGAGTCTTCACCATCCCCCCAGACCTACCCCTTACTGAGGATGAACGGTCAGTCCTCAGTAAAGGGCTCACCTTTGTCCCCCTCCACCCACAGATCAACGAATACCGCTCACGCTTGGACATAGAGCAGTTTTTCCGCCGCCTCCGCCTCCACGCTTACTTCTCTGACCGTGATACTAACCCCCCCTCTACTGACCCCTTCTCCCGCTTCCAACACACCCCCTCCTCCTGGACACCACCCCAAGGCCTCCTACCCTCCCTCGACCTCTTCATCTCCAATTGCCGTCGAGACATCAATCGCCTCAACCTCTCCACCCCTCTCACCCACTCCAACCTCTCCCCCGCAGAACGTGCAGCCCTCCGCTCCAATCCCAACCTCACCATAAAACCTGCGGACAAGGGAGGTGCAGTTGTAGTGTGGCGCACTGACCTCTACATCGCCGAGGCCGGACGCCAACTCTCCGACACCTCCTCCTACCGCCCCCTTGATCAAGACCCCACCCCTGAGCACCAAACTATCATCTCCCAAACCATCCACAACCTCATCACCTCAGGTGACCTCCCACCCACGGCCTCCAACCTCATCGTTCCCCAACCTCGCACTGCCCGCTTCTATCTCCTTCCCAAAATCCACAAACCTGAATGCCCTGGTCGACCCATTGTCTCCGCCTGCTCCTGCCCCACCGAACTGATCTCCAACTATCTCGACTCCATTTTCTCCCCCTTGGTCCAGGAACTCCCTACCTATGTCCGTGACACCACCCACGCCCTCCACCTCCTCCAGAACTTCCAATTCCCCGGTCCCCAACACCTCATCTTTACCATGGACGTCCAGTCCCTCTACACCTGCATTCCCCATGCAGATGGCCTTAAGGCCTCCGCTTCTTCCTGTCCCGCAGGCCCGAACAGTCCCCCTCCACTGACACCCTCATCCGCTTAGCCGAACTCGTCCTCACACTCAACAACTTCTCTTTCAATTCCTCCCACTTCCTACAGACAAAGGGGGTAGCCATGGGTACCCGCATGGGCCCAAGCTACGCCTGCCTCTTTGTAGGTTACGTGGAACAATCCCTCTTCCGTACCTACACCGGCCCTAAACCCCACCTCTTCCTCCGTTACATTGATGACTGTATCGGCGCCGCCTCGTGCTCCCACGAGGAGCTCGAACAGTTCATCCACTTCACTAACACCTTCCACCCCAACCTTAAGTTTACCTGGACCATCTCTAACACCTCTCTCCCCTTCCTGGACCTCTCTGTCTCCATATCGGGCAACCACCTAGAAACCGATATTCATTTCAAGCCCACCGACTCCCACAGCTACCTAGAATACTCCTCCTCCCACCCACCTTCCTGCAAAAATGCTATCCCCTATTCCCAATTCCTTCGCCTCCGCCGCATCTGCTCCCAGGATGAGGCATTCCACTCCCGTACATCTCAGTTGTCCTCGTTTTTCAAGGACCGTAACTTCCCCTCCTCAGTGGTCGAGAACGCCCTCAACCGTGTCTCCCACATCTCCCGCACCTCATCCCTCACACCCCGTCCACGCAATAAGAACCAAAAAAGAATCCCCCTCGTCCTCACGTACCACCCCACCAACCTCCGGATCCAACGCATCATCCTCCGACACTTCCGCCATCTGCAATCCGACCCCACCACCAAAGACATCTTTCCCTCCCCACCTTTATCTGCTTTCCGGAGGGACAACTCTCTCCGTGACTCCCTCGTCCGCTCCACACTCCCCTCCAGCTCCACCACACCCGGCACTTTTCCCTGCAACCGCAGGAAGTGCTACACCTGCCCCCATACCTCCTCCCTCACCCCCATCCCAGGCCCCAAGAAGACTTTCCACATCAAGCAGATGTTCACCTGCACATCTGCCAATGTGGTATACTGCATCCGCTGTACCCGGTGTGGCTTCCTCTACATCGGGGAAACCAAGCGGAGACTCGGGGACCGCTTTGCAGAACACCTACGCTCGGTTCGCAACAAACAACTGCACCTCCCAGTCGCGAACCATTTCAACTCCCCCTCCCATTCCTCAGACGACATGTCCATCCTGGGCCTCCTGCAGTGCCACAACGATGCCACCCGAAGGTTGCAGGAACAGCAACTCATATTCCGCTTGGGAACCCTGCAGCCCAATGGTATCAATGTGGATTTCACAAGTTTCAAAATCTCCCCTCCCCCCACCGCATCCCAAAACCAGTCCAGCTCGTCCCTGCCTCCCTAACCTGTTCTTCCTCCCACCTATCCCCTCCTCCCACCTCAAGCCGCACCTCCATCTCCTACCGACCTACCTCATCCCGCCCCCTTGACCTGTCCGTCCTCCCTGGACTGACCTATCCCCTTCCTAACTCCCTACCTACACTCACCTTTCCTGGCCCCATCCCCGCCTCTTCGACCTGTTTGTTTCTTCTCCACCTATCCGCTCCTCCATCCCTCTTCTATCCGCCTCCCACTCTCTCCCTATTTATTTCAAAACCCCCTTCCCCTCCCCCTTTTCTGATGAAGGGTCTAGGCCCGAAACGTCAGCCTCTCTGCTCCTATGATGCTGCTTGGCCTGCTGTGTTCATCCAGCCTTGCACCTTGTTGTCTCGGATTCTCCAGCATCTGCAGTTCCTACTATCTCTCATTAATAGCCAACTTCTGCTACCTGTTTAAACACAATGCTCTTCCCTGGTTCGCTGTAAAAGCAAACCTTTTAATCAAGAATCAGCT